CCACCTGCTGCTCGTCCATCTGTGACAGTAGGTAAGTGTGCTGGTTTTGATTTAAAATTAAGGAAAGTATGATACTTGGATGGGACTCTCTTGGTGGTATAGGCTTGGAGCTTTGGAAAGAACAGAGTAGTCTTTCTGAAAACAACTTTCTTCTGGGTCTGCTTTTATTACAGGTGCGTTTGTCTGATTGTAATTTCATACATTTTCTGATTTTATTCGTTTTTGACTGAAGTTGAAATGATCTTCAAAGATTTATATTGCTTCTTGTTTCTTTGTTGCTTCTAGAGATTATGTGTGAGGGCAGTGCCCCCACTCTGTTTTGAGAAATTAACAAATATACACAGTGATTACAAAAAAGTTATGATCCATTTAACTTATTGCCCCCTTAATTTCTGAAAAATTTAATAGTGCATCCACTAATTTTGAGAAATTAACAAATATACACAGTGATAGAAACAAAATTATGATCTATTTAGCTTATTGCCCCCTTAATTTTCTAAAAATTTTGATACACTTCCTTCCACTTTTAAAAAAATAGTTATGTAGTTGTCCCTAATTCATTTTTTTAAATTAGTAGCTCGAAACCTAGTCTGGTAGATTATTTTTTCAATTAGTGGCATTCTACCTTTGACTGGAAGATTATTTTTATTCCAGGATTCCAGTATGCTTTCTGCAAGGCTGAAAAGGTTGGGGTTCTAAGAGTCAGGAGTTGAGGTGAGGATGCTTCGAGCTGTACAGAAGAAAATACTACAGTTTTATAGCAGTTTTCTGATTTTTAAATCAGTTTATTGTTTCTGTTTTCTTGTTAAAACAGTTACTGTTTTTCTTTAGAACAGTTTCTGTTCCTGATTCTTGTAATTTTCGAGATTCACTCAATAAAATTTCTCTTTTTTTTAAAAAAAAAATATGGAAGAAGAGAAACGAGTGAGTCCAGTTTAAAAATATAGCATCAGCTACCATTACACACTAATTACTCCGTGGTAAGTTGGTGGATCATGTCCCATCTTTTTCCTTCTAAAAAGAGTGAAGTTAGAGGGGCGCTGGCGATGAAAATTGCACCTTTCTTGAGAAAAAATTCAGTACTTTTAATGTACCATCAGACACCAGTGGTATAAAATGTTGTACATTCACAAACGCAAAAAAACATCACCATCAGAAAACCCCACAAGTGAAATCGAAGCCAAGCTTCATCTAATATCGGCAAAACCAAAAGAAATCTCATTCCATTCACATGTTTCAATTTAATCTATATTAACATTTTTAGTCTTTCGAAATTTTGATCCCATTCTCATTCGATGATGAAACAGCAGAAAATGACAACAGGAAAGGGGAAGTGACAACATGCTCATCCTTCCTGACAAGGCAGTCAAATTTTTTTTACTTCTGCTCATGTTGTCATCCACTCATGAAGCTGAAATAGGAAAGAGGAAGTGAAACACCAAGGTCCTCTGTCTCCAGCATGGTCCTCCTACTTTCCCTTATTCTATCAATGGACTTGTTTAATCTTTCGGTCGACATTAATAATCTTTCTCTTTGATGGTCGATACCTATTGCAATTATTGGAGAATTAGAATACATAATGATGGGAGATTCAAAATGATTAATTGACTTGGGTTCTCTAGCACTTGAATCAGGCACAAAGAGCTTGTAAGGCAACATTGGCAATAACCATTCAGAACATACATATAAAACACTTCAGGGAATGGACCAATTACTCAATATCCAACTCAATAACATAATCAATAATCAACTCAACTCAATAATCTACTCAATATCCAAGTCAATAACACAATCTATAATCAACACAACTCAATAATTAATAATCCAATCAATAACCAGAAAGCCTCTTCGTGTTCTCATGAAAGAAAAGAAAAAAAGAATAAGCAACCACTATTCGTCGATCGCCGATTCCATGGCAATCGAGATCAGGAAGGAGGAAATGAAAGAAGATGGGGATAGTACTTCCCTGTATCAATCATCTCTTTCATCTAAATCACATTCTTTTAGGTCTCAATCATCTCGTTCATCTAGACCCAATTCAAATTCTCCGTCGCCAAACAAGTTATCTCCTACTCCATCCCTATCTTCTCCTAAAAATCTATCTCCTTCGCCTTCCTCATCGGGAATTGAAGCCAAGAATGCAGAAGATTTGGTGAGAAAGAAGTTTTATCACAAACATTCACCACCACCACCATAGATATTCATGAATAGTGAAAACATTAGGGCTTTTAAGGCTTAGGGACTGAAACTTGCAGCCATGACCAAGAAGTTGCTTCCAAAGAGTTTTTTTTCAACAAAAAAAAAAAAAAATCTTTTTCTTGTATATGCCACAGGTATTTGTCTACTCGATAATCAAATGGAGTGTGCGAATTTGGAAGCAATTAATAGTTGTACATATTAACTTAATCAATTCTCTTAACAAATTCATGATTCCACTCCCAACAACCCCTCTAATTTTAGGTGTTGGGAGTGGAATCATGAATTTGTTAAGAGAATTGATTAAGTTAATATGTACAACTATTAATTGCTTCCAAATTCGCACACTCCATTTGATTATCGAGTAGACAAATACCTGTGGCATATACAAGAAAAAGATTTTTTTTTTTTTTTGTTGAAAAAAAAACTCTTTGGAAGCAACTTCTTGGTCATGGCTGCAAGTTTCAGTCCCTAAGCCTTAAAAGCCCTAATGTTTTCACTAATTCATGAATATCTATGGTGGTGGTGGTGAATGTTTGTGATAAAACTTCTTTCTCACCAAATCTTCTGCATTCTTGGCTTCAATTCCCGATGAGGAAGGCGAAGGAGATAGATTTTTAGGAGAAGATAGGGATGGAGTAGGAGATAACTTGTTTGGCGACGGAGAATTTGAATTGGGTCTAGATGAACGAGATGATTGAGACCTAAAAGAATGTGATTTAGATGAAAGAGATGATTGATACAGGGAAGTACTATCCCCATCTTCTTTCATTTCCATCCTTCCTGATCTCGATTGCCATGGAATCGGCGATCGACGAATAGTGGTTGCTTATTCTTTTTTCTTTTCTTTCATGAGAACACGAAGAGGCTTTCTGGTTATTGATTGGATTATTAATTATGAGTTGTGTTGATTATAGATTGTGTTATTGACTTGGATATTGAGTAGATTATTGAGTTGAGTTGATTATTGATTATGTTATTGAGTTGGATATTGAGTAATTGGTCCATTCCTGAAGTGTTTATATGTATGTTCTGAATGGTTATTGCCAATGTTGCCTTACAAGCTCTTTGTGCCTGATTCAAGTGCTAGAGAACCCAAGTCAATTAATCATTTTGAATCTCCCATCATTATGTATTCTAAAATCTCCAATAATTGCAAATAGGTATCGACCAATCAAAGAGAAAGATTATTAATGTCGACCGAAAGATTAAACAAGTCCATTGATAGAATAAGGGAAAGTAGGAGGACCATGCTGGAGACAGAGGACCTTGGTGTTTCACTTCCTCTTTCCTATTTCAGCTTCATGGAGTGGATGACAACATGAGCAGAAGTAAAAAAAAATTTGACTGCCTTGTCAGGAAGGATGAGCATGTTGTCACTTCCCCTTCCTGTTGTCATTTTCTGCTGTTTCATCATCGAATGAGAATGGGATCAAAATTTCGAAAGACTAAAAATGTTAATATAGATTAATTGAAACATGTGAATGGAATGAGATTTCTTTTGGTTTTGCCGATATTAGATGAAGCTTGGCTTCGATTTCACTTGTGGGGTTTTCTGATGGTGATGTTTTTTGCGTTGTGAATGTACAACATTTTATACCACTGGTGTCTGATGGTACATTAAAAGTACTGAATTTTTCTCAAGAAAGGGTGCAATTTTCATCGGCCAGCCGCCCCTCTAACTTCACTCTTTTTAGAAGGAAAAAGATGGGACATGATCCACCAACTTACCACGGAGTAATTAGTGTGTAATGGTAGCTGATGCTATATTTTTAAACTGGACTCACTCGTTTCTCTTCTTCCATATTTTTTTTTTTAAAAAAAAAAGAGAAATTTTATTGAGTGAATCTCGAAAATTACAAGAATCAGGAACAGAAACTGTTCTAAAGAAAAAAACAGTAACTGTTTTTAACAAGAAAACAGAAAACAATAAACTGATTTAAAAAATCAGAAAAACTGCTATAAAACTGTAGTATTTTCTTCTGTACAGCTCGAAGCATCCTCACCTCAACTCCTGACTCTTAGAACCCCAACCTTTTCAGCCTTGCAGAAAGCATACTGGAATCCTGGAATAAAAAATAATCTTCCAGTCAAAGGTAGAATGCCACTAATTGAAAAAATAATCTACCAGACTAGGTTTCGAGCTACTAATTTAAAAAAAATGAATTAGGGACAACTACATAAACTATTTTTTAAAAAGTGGAAGGAAGTGTATCAAAATTTTTAGAAAATTAAGGGGGCAATAAGCTAAATAGATCATAATTTTGTTTCTATCACTGTGTATATTTGTTAATTTCTCAAAAATTAGTGGATGCACTATTAAATTTTTCAGAAAATTAAGGGGGCAATAAGTTAAATGGATCATAACTTTTTTGTAATCACTGTGTATATTTGTTAATTTCTCAAAACAGAGTGGGGGCAACTGCCCTCACAACATAATCTCTAGAAGCAACAAAGAAACAAGAAGCAATATAAATCTTTGAAGATCATTTCAACTTCAGTCAAAAACGAATAAAATCAGAAAATGTATGAAATTACAAATCAGACAAACGCACCTGTAATAAAAAGCAGACCCAGAAGAAAGTTGTTTCAGAAAGACTACTCTGTTCTTCCAAAGCCTCCAAGCCTATACCACCAAGAGAGTCCCATCCAAGTATCATACTTTCCTTAATTTAAATCAAAACCAGCACACTTACCTACTGTCACAGATGGACGAGCAGCAGG